TTCCTGGGGAGTGTCTGTCTCACTGGTTCCTGCAGGAATGTGAGGCCCAGGTTGGGCAGGCAGAAATGGTTTGATTCTGTGCTCAGGTGGACTTGATGCCCACGGTGGCACTCGGGGCTCTCTCGCAGGAAGGAGGGAGGGGAGGCTGAGGAGTAGCAGTGTGGGGCAGACCCACGCATCCATACTCAAGTGCACGCACACATGCACACACACACACACACGTGCGCGCGTGTGCTGTTGGAGGTCTGGCCACCCCTTCGCCGATACATGATTTTCTGCATAGACGGAGTACGGTTGGGCTAGTAGCCAAGAACCCAGGAGAGGGGGGCTTGCTTGGCCCCCACGGGGCTCTAAGTCCTCATACTGCTGCCTCTTCCATCTACACCCCAGAAAGCTTCTCAACACGTCCGGGCCAACCACCATGGAGGCAACACTTCTGAGTGACCCCAATAAGCTAGATCCCCAATTACCATCTCATGAGTCCCAGCAGAACCTATGAGTTTTCCTTCCAGAGGATGGGGGGGCACCCCACACCCCACAACATTCCTCCTCAAAAGCTGGAGGGGTTGTGGGATATGGTAGGACCCTGCGCTGAGGACAGAGAAAATGAAGCTGCCGTCACCCAAGACTAAATGGACTAGGGAGCCAGCCCCCTTCAGCACCCAGTGACAGGACACAAACCCAACCCCCCACTGTGTGTACATTTGCTGCTGTCTGGTAACAGTGCCGGGGCTGGAGCGATAGCACAGCAGGGAGGGCATTTACCTTGCACGCAGCCAACCCAGGTTCGATTCCCAGCATCCCATATGGTCCCCCAAGCACCACCAGGAGTGATTCCTGAGTGCAGAGCCAGGAGTAACCCCTGAGCATCATCAGTTGTGACTCAAAAAGCAAAAAAAAAAAAAAAGAAAGAAAGAAAGAAAGGCCAGTGCCATATCCTTGGTGCCCCCTGCCCATCCTGTACAGGCATATATGCATGCACACACACACACACACACACACATGCACATGTATGCATGTGCTCGTATGTGTACATGCATGTACGCAAGCGGCTTTCTGGCTTGCTACAATAACCCTTTGTTTCCTTACTGCTGTCTGCCAAGACCCAAAAGAGGAATGGAGCTCCTGAGCTCGGCTGGGCCCAGAAGCCTTGCAGGTGTGCCCTGGGCAGGTGGCCAGCTTAGATTATTCAGAGTAGGGGACCCCTCCCCTCAGACTGGAGTCATAATACAGCAGGGAGGGCATCTGCCTTGAACAAAGCTTACCCGGGACCCTGTGGATATGGCCCCTGAGCCCTGTCAGCCCTGTCAGTAATCCCTGAGTGTAGAGCCAGGAGCAAGCCCTGAGCACTGACAGGTATGACCCCCCCCAAAAAAAAGAGAGGAGGTGACCCCCATTGTGCTTCCCAATGCTCCTCCCACCCTATTCCATAGAGGGGGTCCAAATGCCCTGTGGACGCAGGCCAGGGATACCTGAGGAAGTGTTTGAGAAGGTTCTGGCAGTCCCGGGACCAGCCTGATCCAGCCTGGGGCTCACTAGTCAGGAACTGCCACTTCCCCACAGGAAAGACCTGGTGAAAGACGCCGCTCCCTGAGCATGAGCTCCGCCCACCACGCCAGCAAAGGTGCCAGGACACTTTCCTCACTGGCGTGGGCAGAGCCACTGTTTCAGGGACGCTGCTGGTCTCTGCCCCTTCCACCTGCCCCAGTCAGAGTCGGGATGGACAGAGTCGGCTCCAGCACCTTCCCAGCCCCTGGGCACTGCCCGAGGTCGGAGGTCTACACGGTCTATACAGCGTGGGAATCAGTCCCCACCGTCCACCTCAGGTTGGAGCCAGGAGGATGAGGAGAAGCAGCTCTTGCCTCTGCCCGGGCTCTTCCCTCGCAGGAAGAGGCAGATAGGGAAGGAAACATTTTATTTAGAGATGGTGAGTCTGGGAAGGCGCGCTTCTCCAGAGGAGGGACATGGGAGAGTCCCCTGTGAGGCTGGGAGAGGGACTGTTTCCCCCCACCTGCCCATGGACTTCTCTAGAGGGGGACAGCCGAGAGCGCCCCACAAAGTAGGAGGCAGGGACTGCATGTGCCAGGTTGGGCGCTGGCGTCCCTGCGCTGTTGGCCTGAGAGCTTCCTCCCCGACGCCCCTCCTGTGGCGTTCCTCTCCGGGACACCACTACTGTGAGATCCCTTCAACCTCAGCTCCTGTCCACAGAGCTGGTCCAGTCTCATGCTTATTTTGGTCTACTTTAGAGTCAGAGACAGGATAACTTCTAAATCGTATCTTGAGGGGCCGAAGAGATGGTACAGCAGGGAGGGCATTGTTTTGCATGTGTCTGACCTGGGTTTGAGCCCCAGCACCCCATATTGTCGGTGGAGCCCACCAGGACTGGTTCCTGATTCAAAGCCAGGAGTAAGGCCTGAACACCTCTGGCCGTGGCCCAAATGCAAAAGGAAAAAAAAATCCCATCTTGATTTACTCCTTCCTGAGAGCACACTGGCCCCACGCCTGTTACCTGCTTCAACAGCAGCTGGCCGCTGCCACAAATCTGGGCTTCCTTCCTCCCCTCACCCAAAAGCTGGTGACTCAAGTCACCAGCCCGCTGCACACCTCAGGATTTTGTTCTCTGCAAGAAGGAACGGAAGCAGCTGGCATCGCTTGTTCTCAGCAGCCGAGCTTCTGCCCTGGAGCCCACGTGTGAGATCTGGCACTGAGCAACCTCAGGGCAGGCGCAGTCAGAGACTCCGACGGCAGATACCTCGACCCATGAGCGGAGACCAGCCGCTAACTACCTGCAGACTCTAGCAGCCAGATAGAGCACTCTTCATATTTGTTTAAGCCGCTGTTTGTCAAATTTTGGCTGCTCACAGAAGCCTTCCCAGACGCAGATGTGCAGTCAGTAAATACTTGTCGAATTAAGAATTGAATCAGGCAACCTGACTCTCCTTCCCCTTTGGAGGTCACCTTCTCGGGCCTTAGGGTCACTGACAAGAAATTCACCAAGCTACGACAACTCTCATCAGGAGAAAAACTTCTGTTTCGGGGCTGAAACCACAGCCCAGCAGGTAGAGCATTTTGTCTTGCATACGGCCAACCTGGGTTCAATCCCCAGCATTCCATATGGTCTCCCAAGCATCTATCTGCCAGGAGTAATTCCTGAGTGCAGAGCCAGGAGTAACCCCTGAGCATAGCTGGGTGTGACCCAGAAAGCCAAAGAAAGAAAGAGGACGGACTGAAGGAAGGAAGGAAGGAAGGGAAAAACCCTGCGGGAAACTCAGGTGTAGGGGCTTGCAGGACTCTGAGAGCAGCGCAGAGCGGGAGCAGCTCCAGTGACTGCAGTCCCTGACACAGCAGTCCCCAGTAGCCGCTGGATTGATCACTGGGTTCACGGGGCTGCTGACGCATTCACAGCAACACCCCCGCCCTGGGGCTAGATGCCCCCCTCTCTCCCCTGCACCCTGAACTCTCCTATCCCGGCCTCACTCAGGCCAATACTGAGCCCCAGCAACTGGCCTACCCTCCTCTGGACAGCCCTCCTCCCTGCCCCCTCCTCCAGCCTCTCCCCCCACTCTCCTGGCTCTCGCTGCAGAGTCACCCAGGTCTGCTATTTCCTCTGTCCCCTTGGTCCTGCTGGAACCAGCCGTCACAGTCACATTCCAGTCTTGCCTGTGCATCCAGCTCGGCCTTGGGTGGCCCGTGGAGTACAGCAGACAGGACTCGCCCACTGCACCAGTCTTGGATGGTCAGTGCGGCAGCCAGGGGAGGACCTCACGGTGCCGGGGAGAGAGGCAGTGGGCAGCACCCACTGGCTGCTGTCCTGGGCCTCGCAGACAGGGGCAGCTTCAGGGACAGAAGCCAGGCTGTTGGGGCCTGGAGTTGGGACCACTGGGTGGAGAGTGAGTGCAGCACCGCCCCCCCACCCCCCCAGGGTGCAGGTCAGTGCGAGCTCAGCCAAGAGGGGTCGCGGTCCAGCACTGCAGTCATCCTCCCTGTTTCTGAGGGCGTGGAGCAAAGGGGTTTCCCTGTTCACAGCCCGTGGCTTCCCACCCCCAGTCCTGAGTCTGACGGGGACGTGGTGTAGAAGCAGCTCCGGGGCCCAGCGGCCGACACCGTCTTTATTGCCCAGGACCCCATGACATCACTCTCAGGAGCAAAAGCGCCGGGCACAGGTGGCTCATAGCAGCAACTAAGGAAGCGCGTGGGAGCTTGAGCGCCCTGGCTGAGCGGTCCATGCCAGGGCTGCGGGGTGCACTGCCCGCCGGGCACGGCCTCTGGGTCGTCCCTCTGGGGATCCTGAGGCTCTTGACATACTCCAAGGACGTTCTGGGCCAGGCAGGGCTGTCTGGAGGGCTGCCCGCCGTGCATCCACCGTTCCCACGACATGGGACAGGTGAGGAGGGGTGGGGGGCGCTGACTCCGTCTCCGAGAGGGCTGGGGGGCAGCAACCTTCACCCGGGGGCTCTCCCCAAGCCCTGACACAGCAGGGGGGTCTCCTCGCACCGACCGACAGCTCGGAAGGCAGGAAGGAAAAGGGCAGAGCCAGACGGGGGTCCCGCGGCCAGAGGGAGCGCGGAGGGGGAAGCCGCCGCGATGCTCCCCGGGGCCGGGCGCCTCGACGGAACCGAACCTCCCGTGCTAGCCAGGAGCGCTTCAAGGCCCGGCGGGGAGCGTGACGTGGACAGACACACACGGGGACGTTGAGGCGACCGGCTCCCCGCGGCGTCGGCCTGAGCTCGGGCGTCGGGGGTCTGCGCGCCCGGCCGGGGGGCCTCTGCGATCCGCCGGGAACGGGAGGCCAGCGCGGCTCGCGGGCCTGAGCCACGGCAGGCGACAGCGCGGAAGACGGGGAGCGCGTCCCGCACCCGCCGCCCGCCCGCCCGCGGGGTTAGGGTGAGCCGCTGGGCGGGACGGAGGGGCGGGGCCGGCCGGAGCGGGGCGGGGCCTGTCAAAACGGGGCGGGGCCGGTCGGGGCGGGGCCTGTCGAAACGGGGCGGGGCGGCCGGGGCGGGGCGGGGCCGGCAGCGGCGCCCGTCGCCTAGAACAGCAGCGCCTTCTTCTTGAGCTCGTTCCTCTTCCAGAGGGCCAGGCGCTCGAACTCGGCGGCGCTCATCCCGAACACGGCCTGGAAGTCCTCCGGCGACAGGTGTCTCTTCCGAGGGAACAGAAACGCGGAGGTCAGAGCCCGCGGCAACGGGGTGCGCGCCTGCCGCTCTGTGCTGGGGCCCCACACGCCTGGTCTCTCCCCTCTGGGCCCCTCTCATGCTCTGGCGTCGAGGTCATCCCGGCCGTGCTCAGGCGACCGTGGGGGCCGGGAGGGAGCCCAGGGTCCGTCCTGCCCAGCCTCTGCCGGGCGGCCTGTCCTGCTCACAGTGCACCCACACGAACATTCTGCGCACCCACACACACCCACAGCGGCAGGAAGCCCCCACCTCACGCCCTCGGTGCCAGCCAGAAAGGCCTCAGGGGTGGAAACCGGTGTCAGAGGGCGGAGGGTCCCCAACCCTTCCACCAAGGCAGCACCTCACCTGCAGGGCCAAATCATGACCTCCCTGGCCAGGCCCAGGCTGACAGGCCCCACCCTGTCCTCCGAGGCCTGCAGGTTGGTCTTTGACCCACAGCCTCCCCCAGGGCCTGGTTGCCCCTAACGCCCTACCAGCTTGCAGTCAGACAGGCCAGGTGAGTTGAGGTGGACAAAGGAGGCATTCTTCACTGGCCAGAGCAGGCACCTGTCCGCAGACTCAGGACTGCATCTGGTGGTGGTGGTGGAGGGGGTCTAGGGAAGCTTCCAGAAACACCGACTCCACTGCCGGAAGTGTTCTCCCCCTCTGAGCAGGGGACCACTCTTGGGACCCTGTCACCCCTCCCAGGAGGGCACGGCATGTGCCGGACTGCCCGGCCCAGTGCGCAGGGTCTGCTGGGAAGGGTTTCTGAGATGGGGCTCCCAGAGTCCTGCTGTGTCCCTGCCCGCAGACCCTGAACCTGGCCCTCACAGGTCACATCTGAGGGGACCCCTGTCCCTCCACCCACCTCTCCCCTGAGGGGTCTGTTCCCTGAAGTGCTGCAGGCACTCTCTCAAGAGTCCCTCACCCCAAGCCAGATGTGTGTGAGTGGGTGTGTATATATGTGTGTTTACGCATATATGTATGTGTATGTGTGTGTGTATGTTGTGAATGTTTGTATATACATGCGAGTGTGTGCACGTGTGGGACTGTATATATGTGTGTATATTCTGTGTGTATATAGGCTGGAGCGATAGCACAGCGACAGGGCGTTTGCCTTGCACGCAGCCAGCCCACCCGAGCCAGGTTCAATTCCTCTGCCCCTCTCAGAGAGCACGGCAAGCTACCGAGAGTATCTCACCCGCACGGCAAAGCCTGGCAAGCTACCCATGACGTACTCAATATGCCAAACACAGTAACAACAAGTCTCACAGTGAAGACGTTACTGGGCCCGCTCCAGCAAATCGATGAACAACAGGAGGATCGTGACCATGATGTGTGTGTATGAATGTGTGTATGAGTATGTACAGTGTGTGAGAATGTGTTTGTGTGTGAGTATGTAAGTGTACATGTGATTGTGAGTATGTATATGTATATGTGTGTGATATGAGTATGTGGGTATGTAAGTGGACGGATGTGTGAGTGTGTGTATGCATGTGTGTGATGGTATGTGAGTGTGCATGTGTGTGTGCAAATCGGGGAAGCTCAGCCTACAGCCACGCGACCTTGTGTGTCCAGCACAGGTCCTCCGCGGAGCCCAGAGCAGAGACTGTGCCCCCCAGAGGGGTCAAGCTCCACGGAAGGGCAGGCGCTGTGGGTGCACACTGTGCCCAGCCACTCTGGCTTTGGCCATGGAAGGTGCTGGAGTGACAGCGCATGTGCTCCTCCTCAAAGTGGGAGGCCCGGGGTTTTAGCACTGCCACCAGCACCACAACCTGTGCACACACCGGCGTTCACACAGCACACCTGCATTCCCCCTCACAGCCCTGCATTCCCCCTCACAGCCCTGCATTCCCCCTCACAGCCCTGCATTCCCCCTCACAGCCCTGCATTCCCCCTCACAGCCCTGCATTCACCCTCACAGCCCTGCATTCACCCTCGCACATCTTGCATTCACCCAACACTCTTGCATTCACCCCACACACCTGCATTCCCCCTCGCACACCTGATTCAACCTCACACCTGGCTGAGCACTGCAGCCCTCCTTGCGTGCTGTCCCCACTGCGGCACTAGACCCGGAAGGAACCCTGAGCTCTGTGTTCTGAGGGTCCTGGCGTTGCTCCCCCCGCCCCAGTGTCAGTGTGGCCAGGAGCATGGGAGCTCATGGTGTGGGCGGCACCCAGCACTGCTCATGCCAACAGCTGCCCATGAGCATGGAACAAGTGCCGGCCCCCACAGACCGCAAACTCCCCACGTCCCACCCACAAGGGCACATGGGGCTGTCAGCAGCCCAAGGGAGCAGAAAGCGAGGTGGGCAGCTGGCGGCGGGCCTCTGAGTTCTGAGCCCAGCCCCGTCCTGGAATAGGCCGCCCAGGGCCCCTGGCCGCTCCCCCCCTTCTCCACTTGCAGGTGGCAGGAAAGACGCAGCCAGAGGGGTGCACCCGGGTGTGGTCTCGAACCCACTGATTCGCCCATTCCTCAGTCCTCAAGGGCTCCCAAGGCCCCACGGCCCCGCCTTCTGTCACACCACTGTGAGCAGTGGAGGTTGGGGACATGGGCCGTGACATGGGACCCTGCCATGTGGCTCTAGAACCCCCACAGTGGGTGTGCACAGGGGACAAACACTGACCTCCAGGAGACCAGAGTATGAAGACTTTTCTCAGGGGTGCCAGGGCTTGACCCCCGGACCAGAGAAGCAGCCCTGGAGTCAGGGCTGAGTGAGAGCAGGACAAGCAGGGGGCCGTGGGTGGGACCGAATGGGGGACTGACGGGGCCAGATATTGAGGGTCCTGAGACCAGAACAGGCACCCAGGGGAAGCCTTATGGGTGTGAGCGCACTGAACTCTATAGTGTGTCACCAGGGAAGAACGTGTCAGGAGTAGCAATACCTGGGCAGAGCATAGGACAATAGTACCCAGGGAACAGCATACTAGGAGCACCAATACTCAGGGCAGAGTGGAGGGCATTAGTACTTGGGAAACAGCATACCAGGAGCATCAGTACTCACGGCAGTGTGCCATGAGCATCAGTACTCACAGCAGTGTGCCATGAGCATCAATGCTCACAGCAGAGTATTGGACCACAAGTCATTGGGGACGAGCATACCAGGAGCATCAACACCTGGGCAGAGCGTAGGGGCATTGGTACTTGGGGAGGAGCATGCATGGAGCACTATTACCCAGACTCAACATGTGGGGTACTAGACGAGGAGTAGCATGCCAGAAGCATCAGTACTCAGGCAAAGGCATGTGGGGTACTATACCAGGAGTGTGCCTGGAGCACCAGTACCTAGGCAGAGCATGTGGGGGGCACTAGACCAGGAGGAAGGTTCCTAAAATACTGGTACCTGAACAGAGTATAGGGCAGTGCTGGAGTACTGATACCTGGGCAGAGTGTATAGGGTACTGGACTGTCAGGAGTGTGCCAGAGCATTGGTACTAAAGGAAGACCCACTACTCCTCAGTTAAGCATTTCCTTCCTGGCCCTGGGGTGGGCTCTGTGCAGAGCCATCTCTGGGCCCAGCAGCCCTGCAGGAATCCCTTGGGGTGCAGAGGGACGGGTGGACGACCCCATCTGTACCTCCAGTCTCGTCCGGTCCACATCCTTGGGCAGCTTGACGCGAAGTCGGTTGGTCACGATGAGCGCATCATACGGGTACACCTGGGGGCAGGGGGCAGCTCAGCGCTGGGCACGGGGTCCTGGGGCCAGGTCCCCATCATGGTCATCCTTACCTTGTATTCTGTAAGACAAAGGCAGAGGGCACAGGTGCCTTAGCGGCGGGTGCCAGGGAGCCGGGGCCTGGGGCCCACCCCAAGGTAGGTGGGCTGTGCCCCCCCTGTTTGCACCGGGACTCGGGGGCCTGGGGGGCCGGGCAGGCACATGGTCAGAAGACAGGAGACAATCCCGAGGCAGCCACGGCCCCGCTGAGCCCTGGAGCCAGTCTTGGGTAGCAGCCCATGGGCCTCCCAGCTTCTGGGCCCCAGATCCCTCAGTCCCTCTTTTGTGAACAGGGGCCCCCAGCTCTGGTGGTACAGGCTCACAGACCGAGTCCCCGTGATCTCGTGGAGCCCTCTCTGGGACCTGGTGCACACCTGTCTCAGGGTGACCCTCAGAGCTCAAGGGAGGTGACTGCTCCCCAAGTGCCCCTAGAGCCCCAGCCACAGTGGGCACCAGCTGCAGCCTGGCGCTTCGGAGGCAGAGGGGCAGGTGCTGGACAGCCCAGCAGTCCTTGTCACCCTGGGGTGACAGGCGAGTGACCGGCTCCATACAGGCAGCCCAGGATGGGCAGCGATGCCAGCCCTGCATCAGGCCCACACCCCTACACCAACTTGCCACACACGTCCTGGTTGATGCCCAGGGAGGCAGCGGGCGCCTCATCAGACCCGGCCCTGCCCACAGCCCCTGCTGACCGTCCCGCTGGCAGCAGGCCACCTGCATGCACGCACAGTGACCGCGCAGCCCCTCCCAGTGAGCGAGACAACAAGTCGGGGGAGGCCACTCAGTGAGGGGGGTGAGCACCTGAGGGAAGCACCATGGGACAGGAGAGGAAGCATCTAGGACTAGGGCGCATAGCTGAGGATAAACATCTTAGGAAGGATGGGAACACCTGAGGAAGGATCGCAGGGAGGAGGAGCAACTAGAAAGGAGCACCTCAGGGAAGGAGCACTTCAGGGAGGAGGGAACACTTCCTGGAGTATCTGTGGAAGGATGGAACACCTCAGGGAGGGAGCACATTCAGGAGTGCCTAGAAAAGGGGGAGCACCTCGGGGAGGGAGCACCCTCCAGCAGTACTTCAGGGAGGGAGCATCTGGGGAAAGAGAGAGCATCTTGGGAGGGAGCATCTCCGGGAGTACCTCAGAGAAGGAACATCTCTGGAAGTACCTGGGGAAGCAGAGAGCACTTCAGGGAGGAGGAAGCCTCTTGGAAAGGGGGGAGCACGTCAGAAGGAGGAGACCCCCAGAGACCTGCCCCATTGGAGGGCAGCTGACAGGTACAGAAGGGTCTGGGGATACTCTGGAGCAGCCCATGGACCCCAGTGCATGAGGCCCCCAGGGGGGCAGCACGGCAGGGAGACTCAGCAGGGTAGGATCCCCTGCCCAGCCAGAGACCCATGGGGTCCCGGTTCTTGTACCTCGCGTGCCCCAGCCAGCATCCGGGTCTGCTCCCCAGGGGGCCGCACTGGCATTCTGGAAGAGAGAGAGAGAGAGGGCAGCGGGGGGCAGGGGTGCACAGAGGCGGCCCCTGGGATGGACCGGCCCACAGCCTTCAGCCATGCTACCCGCTGACCCCTCCTGTGCCCGGCTACAGCTGGCACCGCCCTGCCGGCCGCCATCTCTGGAATCCAGCAGTGAGGACCGCAGTCAGCCCCCAAGTCCCTCACGCCACACTGTCCTCTGGGTGCCAGGTGACGCAGCCCTGAGGCACAGACACCCTAACAGAGAGACCAAGGCCAGGGGCGCTGGGAGTTGAGGGTCTGTATGGGCATTTTGAGCCTTCTGTGGTTTCTCACATCCACATCTCACATGTGGCTTTTCTGGAAACATCCCGCCATCGCCCCCAGGCCCTCTGCTGACTCACCCAATAACAACCCCTAAAGAGTATTCAAGGGCAATTTAGGGGCCCTTCCTTCACCATGGCCCCCCACTTGTGTCTCCGCCCCATATGAAGCCCAACACTGTCCCCTGGTGCCCACCGCTCAGCACTGCAGGTTTCCAGCCCCCAAGCTGGGCACCCAGGCTTCACCCTCAAGGTCAAAGCTGCTTCCGGCTTCACAGGTCCACACAGGGGAGCCCCGGGGGGCAGGGGCGCAAGGCCTGCTGGGTGTGGCTCTCTGGTAGCTTCTGGGGGAGGAGCTGGCACGAGCCAAGAGCTGAGAGGTCAGGAACCCACAGAGGTGGGACAGCTGGTGCCGCTAGCAGATGCCCCAGGGGATTAAAAGCTCGAAGTGCTCACCCCTTCCCCCACTTGGCTGGACCTTCGTTTTCTAATCTGCAACCTCAGGAGGCCCCGTGACCATCCACAAGTCAATGATGGACAAGGCTTTGAGAGATTCAGCTACACAGCAAGGCCACACAGCAGCTCAGAGACTAAGCATGATCGAGCACCTGGGTTTTCCTTTCAGCTCTGACCCTGAGCCTCCCTCCTCTCGGCAAGTGCGAAGCCACTCTGCCCACCGCTCGCCTGACCCAGCCCATGGAGGTGGCCGTGTCCGCTCCTGAGCTCCGGGGATGACGTCAGTGCCAGGCCCCCCGCACCGGCTGTCTACATCGGGTATGAGGACCAGGGCTGCCTTCCTGCCCAAGCCACATGCCCCAGTCAACCACGAGCCCTCACACACCTCCGGCCTCTGCCGGGCACAGGATTCAGTCTGGGCAGTGCGGCCCCGCCTCCTCAGCAGGCAGGCAGCCGGGGCTGGAGGCACCAGGCCTCAGGGGGAGGAAAGCTGGCCCTGTCCGGCTGACCACACAGACGCTCTCCCACGGCAGAAACCGGGGAAGCCTCTCCCCTCCCCAGAAAGTAACTCACCCCTGCGTCCCTCCCTCCCTTCCTCCCACCCCTCCTTCTCTCCCTCCTTTAAAAAACTTTGGGAGGGGCTGGGCCAACCTGGAGGTGCTCTGAGCTGACTGCTGGTTGCTACTCCTGCTTGCACTCAGTGAACCATACGCAGTGTCAGGAGTTAAACTGACACTGTGTGGTTGTGCGTGAGGATCATTCTAGTCCTCCTTTCTTCAAAAAACATTTTTTTTCTTGGGAAGCCATGCCTGGTGGTGCTTGGGGGCTACTCCAAGATCTGGGCACAGCAGGCAGGTAGCATGGACTATGAGTTCTATTAACTGCTGGGACAGGACCTGGTGAGTGCTCCCTTCCTCTCCCTCCAGCTTGTGAGTGCTCCCCCCCCCACCTGAGTGCTCCTCTTTCCGTGGCCACCAGGAAGCAAAATGCTCCCTGCCACAGTGTTGTGGGCTGCTCTTTGGTTCAGTGCTGGCTTCCTTTCTCCCTGGTTCCCGTCCTCCTCGGTGATTTGGAGTTAACGGGTCGCCGTCTGTGCCGGGACTTCAGAACACCTGGAGCCCTTCCCGGACACAGAAAGAAGACAAGCGACGTGGGGAGCAGCGGGCAGCGGCTGCAATGGGGCCAGCGCCAGTGGGCACGGGGAGGCCACAGGCCAGGCTGACCCAAGGCCCAGGACCATGCCCGCCCTTCCCGCTGAGGAGCAGCCACACGCTGGCGCCTGGGTCTGAGAGGTCTGAGGAGACACCAGCCCCACGCTCCACATCTGCGAACACCGTGAGCTGGCCAGTGGCCCCAGCTGATGGTCCTGGGGTCGGCATCTCCAGGGTCTGCCCTTCTCGTTCACTTCCATGCCCTCAGACAAACTGCTCAGCACTGGGCGTGGGGCAGTGTGCAGAGGGACTTCTGTCCCAGTCACCCCAGCGGGACTCCCAGAGTAGGCACAGGTCCCAAGCAGACAGCAAAGCAGCGGCTGCGAGAGAAGCCCCCAGCATGCGTGCTGCCCCCGGGAGGGCCCAGCTGGACACTGAGAACATGCGCTACCTGTGGAGGGAGGTGTGTGCTGCATGCGGGCCAGCAGCCACGGTGGCCAGTTAGTGGGGAGGGGCTGCGCCAACCATGCAGATGCACCGGTCAGACCACGAAGGGCCCATGGCACTGGGCAACTCCTGGGCACCCACTTTGCTCTGGCCTCAAGGTAGACCCGAGGTTTCCCGTCCCCCCCCCCCACCCGCCTCAGTGGCTCACACACGCACCCGGCAGCTCCTGGAAGGCAGCTTGTCCTGCTCCACCTCTGACAGGATGCGCTGCCTATGGAGGACGTGTGCGAGCACGTGTGTGCAGGTGCATGTGAGTGTGCGCGGTGAGTACAGTGTGAACTGTGTGCACACGTGTGTTCAGGTGAGTGCACTGTGCATGCAAGGCTAAGTGTTCTGTGGGTGTGAGTGCACATGTGTGCACGACTGCATTGTGTGCCTGTGAGTGGGCCGTGGAAGTGTGTGCGGATGTGTGTTTAGGGGGTCTGTGGGTGTGTTAGATATGTGCACGTGGAGAAGTGTGAGTACGGATTGCATGCATGTCACTGTGCCTGTGTATTTCATGTGTACTGTGTGTACTGCATGTATGTGAAGTGTGTGTAGATTGTAGGTTGCATGCACATAGACTGTATGCACATTGACTGTATGCATGTGGGTTTCGTGTGTGGATTATATGTGCATAGATTTCATTGTGTGGATTGTGTATGTGGACTGCATGTGCATGAATGTGTATTGTATGGACAGCAAGTATGGACTGCATATGCCACGCATTCGGATTGCATGTGTGCATACTGTGTGTGGACTGCATATGTATTGTGTGTGGGTAGTGTGGGCTGCATGTGCATGCATGTGGATTTTGTGTGTGGACTGTATGTGTATTCATGTGGACTGCATGCGCATGTATGTGGATTGTGTGTAGATAGCGTGTATGGGCTACATGTGTATGCATGTGGATTGCATGTGTGGATAGCGTGTGGACTGCATATGCATGCATGTGAGATGCAAGTGTATAGAATGTGTGGACTGCAGGTATAGGTATGTATATTGCATGTGTGGACTGCAGGTACATGTATGTAGATTGTATGTGTGGACTGCATGTGCATGCATGTGGATTGTGTTTGGATAACATGTGTGAACTGTGTGACTTGTGGGTGCATGTGTGTGCAGTCCTGTGCCTCTGGTACCACACCCACCCTTTGGGGTCTCTCTCTGGAGACCTACTGAGGTGACAACATTAGTGGCTCTTCGCAGGGCCTGGTCCTGGGGGACACTCAAGCTCTGTGTCAAGTGCACATCTGGAAACGGGTCATGTTGCTCGGGACAACCGGAAACATGCATGTTGCACGTGACCTCAGTGACCTCATGAGCATGACAGGGCGCTGCCCGTGTCCTCACCAAAGCCTTGGCAAGCTTACTCACAGAGACAACGACAATAGGAGGCGACGTGGCTCTGTGAGCACGAGCTTGTGGCAGGCAGAACTGCTCAATTCCGGGGAATGGGGGTGTCTGCTGACCCCCAGCCCATGCACCTTGCAAGGCCTCCTTGGGGTGGGAGGATGAACACGTCCAGATTTGCACTGTCTCTGGGCTGGAGAGGGGACAGGTGGGGACCAGGGCGCCTCCTCCCGGCTGTGGTCAGAAGGGGTGGGGACAGCTGTTAGTGTGCGGTGGCGGGTGGGCGGTACCTACCCGGTGGTCCAGACCACTGATTCCATGTCCCGGGAGAGGGTCGGGTTTGGAGGGGGGGCATCCTGAAAAGACACACACCGGTCACACGGGCGTGGCCCTCTCTGCCCGGAGAGTGGGGGCACCTCTCGGGCCAGGGCCTCACCCGGCAACGCGAAGAGCTAGGCCAGCCCGTGGGAGGGGTCTCCTTTCCACAGAGGAAGTCATGAAGAACTCCAATTTCTAACAGCTCGAAATGAGGGATCCGAGTACCCTGGGGTGCTGTACCCAGTACTCCCTGCACTGGCCGGGGTGTCCCCGGACTCTGAGGCATTCCTGAGCCACACTGATGCGGGTGGAGACCCCGCACGGCCCTGGGTGAGGACGTACTCAGAGGACCTGCAGTGGAGCCCGACACGCCCCTCTGGAGCCTGGTGCTGGCCCCAGACCGAAGCAACCCCGAGAGAGAGAGGGCACGTCTACTTTGCGTGTCCCACCCCAGCACCAGCCAAAGACTGAGCCCGGGATGCTAGGCCGAGGGAGGGCACTCACATGTGGGCCAAGGGACCAGCATACATGTTTGTGTGTGTACCTGTGTGTGTACAGGAGCCATGCATACATGCACACACGATAATGTATGTGTGTATAGGAGTCTGACACATGTGAGTACATGCACAAACATGTATATGTGACATGGGTATTCATGAAGACAAGTGTGTGCGCAAGATCCGAGCGTACATATATTCACTTATAAATATTAATATCTGTGCGCAGGTAGAGACCTGTTATCCATGTGTGCATGTAGAGTACATGGGCTGGTGTGTATGTGTGCGTACAAGCATGTGTGTGAGCCTGGCGCACATGTGTGTGCACAGGCACGTGCAAGCCTGACAGCCATTTGTGACGTCACTCTGACCTTCCCAAGGTCCTCCCCAACTGTCCTCCCCCGGGCGCCTGCAGAACTGGGCCCCCTCTAGGGTTCCTCCCCGGTTCCTCTTGTGCCTGCCAATTCCCACCGCCCCCACAGGGGCCTCACCCCAGAGAACACCTCACGGCCAATGGCAAGTGTCCCCTGCGCGCCTGAGATCTCCCTCCCGTGTGGCCCTGGCTCCTTGCCTCAACTTGCCCCTGCTGCGGTCTGCGCAGCCTGTCAGGCCCCGCGCTTCTCTGCACTCGCAGCTACCTAGATCTGTGCGTTTGTTCGCGGCTGAACGTCGCCACTTTCCTGCTGTTATCTCTCAGGCCCTGCCTTCTCCTCTGGGCCCACGGATGCAGCCCTGTCCTTCTGTCCCCCTTATTTGCTCTCTGCTCCAAGTGGGGAATTTCCATTGTCTGTTCAAGGACAGAACCTCGCACTCGGCCATCAGAAGGGTCCAGGACAGAACCAGGCCCCTGGCTCCTCGACCAGTCTTCATTCCCTTCAGTGACAGTGAAATGTCACTGCCATTTCATTCTTTCTTTCTGATTACTTGGCTTTAGGCCACACACAGCGATGCTCAGGGATTATTCCTGGCAGTAGGGGATGCCGGGGACCAAACCTTTATCAGCCACGTGCAAGGCCAGCGCCCTCCCCACTGTACAACTGCTCCAGCCCCATTCATTCTTTTTTTTTGGGGGGGGGCGCGGATCACACCCAGCAATGCTCAGGGGTTACTCCTGGCAGTGCTCAGGGGACCATATGGGGTGCCAGGGATTGAAGGCCAGAGCGCTCCAGTCACCTGATTCATTTTTATAGCATTCATTTCTCCCGGAAGATTTTCTACTTCTTCAGTCCCATAGAAATGATTTATAACGATTCATTTCACAAGGGTACCATGGGCTGAGCCACCCAGGCCTGGTGGAAAATCCACTGCGCTTCTGTGCTTGTGCCCAGCCAGGCCCAGTCATCCATGGGCGGCCTCTGTGGTTCTGTAATGTTGGGAGCGCTCCTGCTCTCTCCCTCTCTCTCCTTCGGTCTCTCCCCCCCTCCCCCTCCCCGTCTCTCCGTATATCTCTCTCCCCGCCCCCCATCTCTCCGTGTCTCTCCCTCTCCCCCACCCCACTCCCGTGTGTGTCTCTCTGTGTCTCTGTCTCGCTCCCGTATCTCTCTCTGTTCATTGCACACTGTGGTGGTGATGTGGGGAGACGCAGTCCAGTCCGATCATGCCCGTGGCAGTGTCCAGGCAGCTGGCCTGCCCCATGAGGGCAGCTCTCCCAATGCTCCCTCACGGGGAGGTGGGGAGACCCTGCTCTTCACAGGCAGGGGAGGCCCCAGGAACCAGCAGTGGGGACCGAAGGCGCCTGGTGGAGACAGAGGAGAACCCGTTAACCCTCAGCTTTGCCCCCCAGCATCCGCTCAGAGCCGGGGCAGAGGGTGCCATGATCCCAGAACACTGGCCAGAGAAGCCCCCGTCCCAGGTGACCAAGCATGGACCCCTCTGCATCACCCCAGAGCTGTCGGGTATGGTCAGGCATGCATAGGGACAAGCGGGGGTCTCATTTGTGAGTACCTGCTCCAGGACGTGGCTGAGGTGTGTGAGGGGACCCTGTCCACACCTGGTCAGATACCAAAGGGCCATGAGGTCACGAACTGAGCTGGGGGCTGAGGGCCACTGGATGCACCATCCTGCCTCCACATGCTGTGGGCGCCCTTACAACGTGTGCCCTAAGACCCTACTCCAGGAGCCCCCAGGGAGCTTGCCCCCAGGCCCCAAGACGCTTAGCACAGCGCGGGGGTGGTGTTTCTGAGGGTGATCCCTGGCCATGGCACAGGGGTGGCACTGAGGTTCCCGGGTAAAACACCTTGGGCACTGCCTGGGTGACCCTACTCGGCCTGATTTCCCCAGAGGCTGCAGAGAACGAGGAAGCCTGTACCAGAGTCCCCCAGAGGGTCTGCGCCCACACGAGGACCCGCGCCCCCTCTCCGTCCCGCGGGCAGGACGAGGCCACGTCCGGGGGACAGAAGTGAAGTGCACCTGCGACGGTGAGGAAAGGTAGGCGGAGGCCCTGTTGGGAAAGGTGGCTGTGGGGAGCAAAGACCCCACATTTGGCAGGCTCCTGGGGCAGGATGGGTACGGCAGGGACCCCGCAGCCTCCGGTCCCCGCGAGGGGCTGCCTGTCCGTGCTCGGAAGCCGCAAGAAGGGCCCAGGGCCTGCCCAAGACCCCAGACAGCCAGGCGGCCCTGACACCCCAATCCCCCGGCCATGAGGGCAGCTGGGGGCGCTCAGCCCAAACACCGGCCCCTGGGAAACCGGAGACGGACGAAGAAAGACCGAAGTCCAGGCCAACCAATCACGGGCTGGGCAGTTCAGTCTGAGCCAATCACATATCGGACAAGCCTTGCTCTGGACCAATCACGGGGTGGGAAACTCGATCTGAGCCAAGCATGTGTCGGGCAAGCCTCACTCTGGCCCAGTCACGGGATGGGAAGTTCAGTCTGAGCCAATCACGTATCAACCACGCCTTGCTCTGGACCAATCACAGGGTGGGAAGTTTGATCTGAGCCAATCATGTGTCGGCCAAGCTTTGCTCTGGACCAATCATGCGGCGCGAAGGTCAAGCGCCCAGAGAAAGGCCTTGGGAGGCCCTAGTGGGGAGCTGCTGACCCTTGCCCGGCCTGTGGTTCTTCCCGCGCTGCTCTGGTGAGTCCTGGGGCCGAGTCTGTGCGACCTCCCCGTGTGCTGGCCGGGGCTCTTTGCACCAGCACCGCCCAGCGGTGCAGCCGAGCCCAGGCTGCTCCTGAGTCTTCTCCCGAGGGGCCCGGCTCTGCCGGTACTGCACGGTGACAAGGGTCAACAACTGACTGTGGACCAAGCCCAGGGCCTCCATCCCACCTGTCACCACCTGCCAGCGCTAAGGCTGGCCCGCGCACTCATGCATTCGGCAGTGCCTTGCAAGCCCGCTGGGTCTGCCTCTGATCTCTCAGCCTCCCCCAAACCCATCCACCGTCAGCAGAGGCCCGGGACCCCTGCCGGGAGCAAGCACCCAGGTCAGGCTGCAGCGGGTGGGCGGCCTGACGGCCTCAAAGTACCCACACACTTGGGTTTGGGTTTCCACGAAGTGCCTCTTCCTGCGTCCCCTCCCTCACCACCGGTCATCAGTCAGCGTTTGTCTGCCCCCAACTCTCACTGCCCGACCATGCGCAGGTCTGTTCTGGAGGGAGGAGCTGCCGGCGCGGCCCCCACGCCCCTCCGGGACTCAGCCCAGGGACAAGCTGGCTCTCACCCGGTGTTCCAGGAGCTGAGGCGCCTGCAGGGCACCCCAGCGGCTGACCATCCACCAGGGAAATAAGCGCGCAGAGAGGGCCTTGTGCCCAAATCCAGCCTTTATATTGTTTTCTGAACAGAGTTCAGATTTGGGGGTCTTGGCTGCAATTTTTGCAGCCCCTGAGCTGTGAGGGTTTCGGGTCGCCTTGACAGCCCCCTGCTCCGAGGTACCACTCACGCGAATAAAAACTGTCCCCCGGCGTCGCCTGCAGTGCATCCCGGTCGGCCCCGCTGTCCTGGGACGGGCACTGGCTGGCCAGCTCTGGGGAGCTTGTCCTCGTGTCCACGTCCTCCTTGAGAAGTAGCCAGCTGGCCTTCTGCCGAGAAAGGCTCAGCGTGAGCCCACCAGCCAGCCAGCGACCGGTGCACCCCTCACCCCCAACCACAGGCTGCAGGAAACTGGATACCCAGGAAGCACCGTGGGCAAAACTCTGGCCTCCGAGCATGGGGTGGGGGGAGGGCAGGACACACACACTAGCCCCAGCACAAGGAAAGGGTGCTGGCAGGTGCCCCGTGGCCCCTGATTACTTAGTCAGGTTTTTATAGAGGCACATTGGCTTATAGAATTGTTGACTATGGTGTCAGGCATACGACCTTTCCTGGGGCAAGAAAGCACCCACTGGTGCTCAGGGCTGGCTCTGCCCTCAGGGGTCACTCCTGGCAGGGCTGGGGGACCATGTGTGGCCCTTCCCCACTGTACTATCTCTCAGGCCCAGTCTGCTGATTTGAAATGTTAATTGCCATCGTTTTCCATTCTGTCCAGTCATAGGAGACAAGATATTCGAGGAGGGGTCTGGCCTGTGGACCAGCTCACCCACACCAGGACCGTGCTGGAGGTGAATTCTGGGGAGCAGGGGACCGGGCTGGGGGTCAGGGTACAGACAGCAACACCTCTTTCCCTTCCAACTGCAACACTGCTCATTCTCTTAGGGAGGGGCCTTGGTGGATCTTGCTGATCTCTCTTCCGAAATGGTGTCCCAGCTGAGGGCCCAGGAAGGGCAGAGGACAGGTAGGGCAGCGGCCACACAGGCTAGGCCTGTCCTTCTCCGCTCCTCTGGGGCTCAGGGAGTCGCCCAGACCCCGGGGCCCCGTGTCTGCCTGCCTGGTCTGAGCCGTGACTGATGAGTGAGCAAGGTGCGTCCCTGCCCACGTTACCTTCCTGCTGTCTGCTGCGAAGCTCCCGTCATCCCCCTCCAGGCGCCTTGCGGCTAGAAGATAAAGGCAGAGGTCAGTCAAGTCACCCGCAGGGACAGTGAGACAAGCACAGCACTCCTCCCCCACGTGGCCAAGGGGCCCCCAATGGGCTGCCGCGTCGGAAACTGGTGTCCCTCTCTCCCGTGAGCACAGAGCCAGGAGCAGGTGCGCAGGTGACCCCAGAGTGAGCGCTTGCCGCCACCCCCTGCCCAGGGATTCGCCCATGTTGCCGGTACCCAACTCCCTGCTTTCTGCCTTGCATGTTGAGTCCACGGTGACTCAATCCCCACAACCACATCACGGGGGAGTTTGGATTTTTTTTTTGGCATTTTTGGGTCATACCCGGCGATGGCACAGGGGTTACTCCTGGCTCTGCACCCAGGAATTACTCCTGGCAGTGCTCGGGGGACCATATGGGATGCCAGAAATCGAACCTGGGTCGGCCGCGTGCAAGGCAAACGCCCTACCTGCTATGCTATGGCTCCAGCCTGACCATATCAGAGGAAAGACAATGACTGGGACAGATGCTGAGCGTGCTCAAGAGATGGCGCCTGAGGGCCGAGGGGGCCCATCCCTCATCCCCGCACCCCTGTCTGCGCCTTGGCCTGCCCAGAACTCCTGCTGTAGCTGAGGGAGGGGTGCGTGGCGCCGTCCTTTGCCTCGGCGGAGCTGCACCCCCACACGTCTCCGCATCCCCGTCTGTGCCCCCCCGTGCATGCGGCTGCTTACCTGCGGCCTGCGGAGGGCTGGGGCCTTCCAGCCTTTTGGGGTACCCCGCCCCACGCACCACCAGGGACAAGACTGACATCAGACCCGAGAGCTTGGACACAGGGGACTGGGCCAAGGGACCTTGACAAGATAAGGCCACAGTCGGCGGCGGCTGGCACACAGGGCGCGCGTCCTCCCGCCCGGCGCCCCATGCAGGAGCCGCATTCGGGAGCCCCAGGTGGAAGGGAGGGGTGGAGGCCAGGCCCCAGGGGCAGCAACAGCGCAGACGGGGTGGGGCACAGCTGCTGCCCCCGGGGGGGCCTGAGGGCTGGGAAATGGGGAGCTGCACCCCAGAGCCCCCACATGCCCCAACCATCGCCACACTTGGGCTAATGGACACACGCAAGCCCAGAGTGGCCACTGCTGGGGGCCTCTCAGTAGGAAGGGAGGGGTCTGACAGAGGCCTGTGGGGCTGACCCAGGGAACAGACCCTGCTCCCACCAAGGCTGGATGCAGGAGCCCATGAGGACTCCCAAGGGGCCACAGATCCAAGCAAAGCCCTGTGGGGCCCAGGTCAGCCCCGGCCCCCCAGCACATCACGCGGCTGCTCTGGAGGCCTGTCAGCAGGTGCTGGGACCCAGCAGGGAACGGGCACCTGGTGCTGAGGGGGACGATGGGGTTGGGGCTCACTGCAGTAGGCTGCTGGCCCCAGAGATGAGGCACGTCCCACGGCCCCGCTGAGCGTTGCTAGGGGCTGCCTTGAGGACCCCCCTGTCCCCTGGTCACTCAGCAGGACCAGCATGTGACACACTGAGTTTATTTCTGGATTCAGAGCCCACCCTCCCACACCCCTCTGCACACCCACTCCTGTCTGAAAACATGCCCACAAGCATCCTGGAACCCCTTTTATCTCCTCTCCACTCCTCCCTCTACACTTCTGACTACTCACCCACCCAGGCATGCACACGTCATCACCCACGGTCCTCCCCACTCAGCACCCACTCATATGCCCATCCGTCCATTAACCAACTGTTCATCTATTCACCTACCTACGTACATGAACCACGAGCCTATTCATCCATCCACCCATCTGTGTAATCACCCGCCAGCCCGCCCATCCATCCATCCATCCATCCATTCACCCATCCATCCATCCATCCACCATCCAGCCACCCATCCATCCAACCACCCATCCATCCATCCACCCACCCATCCCCCATCCAGCCACCCATTCATCCACCCACCCACCCATCCATCCATCCACTCACCCATCCATCCATCCATCCACCCATTCAGCCACCCACCCATCCATCCATCCATCCACCCACCCACTCACCCATCCAGTCACCCATCCATCCATCCAGCCACCCATCCCCCATCCAGCCACCCATTCATCCATCCAGCCACCCATCCATCCATCCATCCATTCACCTACCCATCCAGCCACCCACCCACCCATCCATCCATCTATCCACCTACACATCCATCCACCCATTCAGTCACCCATCCACCCATCCATCCACCTACCCATCCATCCATCCCACCCATCCATGCATCCATCCACCCACCCATCCACCCATCCATCCACCCACCAACCCATCCATCCATGCATCCATCCACCCACCCATATGACCACCCCTCCCGCTGTCACCCACCTTTCATCCATCCACTCAGCCACTCCCCCACTCCCCACCCCATCCCAGTCTGCCTGTCCTCCTTGACCCACCCTTTGCTGGGTCCGGGCAGCCTTGGTCTGTTGCCCTTCCTGAAACCTGCCTTGCTCTGCTTCTCTCTCCTCCCCCCAGCGGGGGCTGAGTGGGCACCGACACGGTTGCAGGGGCAGAGCGGCATCCAGGCAGGCCCTTGGTCTGCACAGTGCCCAGCCAGGCAGCGGGGCATGCGAGGAAGCAAGGGGGGCACAGTCAGTCCCCGGGGGCCACCACGTCCTGGTCCACTCACTGTCCTCCCTGGAATTGGTCACCTTCAATCCGAACAGGAGGGCCCAGCAGACACCCGTGCCAACTGCTCAGGAATGCCCTTGGGGCCTGGCCACAAGCTGAACTGGAGGTGAGTGGGACCCAGGTCAGGACACCAGCTCCATCTGGCTGGAGAAAGCTGCAAGGCTGGTCACTCTGCAGGGCCACTGGGGGTCCCTCCTATCAGCCCCAGGAGCCCTGTTTTCCCGATACCTCCTTAGAGACTGGCAAACGTCAAATGTCTGTGTCCCCAGTTCAGAGGCTGCAGCCCCCAACAGAGGGCAGGAGCCTGGGGGTCTAGGGGTTCAGATTCTGTCACTGACCAGCAGGGAGGGAATGGCTATTCACCCCTGCCTCAGAGCCCTGCCCACGGGTCAGCCACCTCTGTGTTAATGGGTGTGTGTGTGTGAGTGGGTGTATGAGTGGACGTGAGAGTGTCCAGAAGCGGGTGTGTGAGCACACGTGAGTGTGAATGAGGATCCCTGGGAGTGTATGAATGGATGTGATCATGAGTGGGTGTGTATGGGTGTGTGTGTGTGACTGAGTGTGCATGTGTGTGTGGGTGTGAGGACAAGATGCCCCATCACAGGTCCCTGAGGTGGAGAGAGGGCCAGGGCCACATCCTTGGGCTCTGGGTGAGGCCAAGCTGGCCCAGTGGGCTCCCAGCCCGCCAGAAACGCCCGCCCCCCAGCCCACATTTACACGTCTTCCCACCCATTTTCTAGTGCTTTCTTTCTTCCCCTATCCCAGGATTCTAAAAATTTCTGAATTTAAGCCATGAACGGACCAGAGTTAGCACTAAGGAAGCACAAGCACAGGCCCCACCAGTAGAATGCCAGCAGTCAGGGGCAGGCACAGGCAGAGCTGGGGGTCAGCCCATGCCAGTTGGCTCATAACTGGGCATCGACTCCGATGCTGCCAGGGAGCAAGCTCCAGCCCAGTCGGCGCTCAGCTCCGCCCGGGTCCCTCTGCACCCCCAGCCTGGCTGCCCATGGCTGCTCATGTCCCCACACATGGAGAAGATGGTGCAGACCAAAACCGAGCCAGGCCTGTGACTGGAACAGGCGCTGGAGAGACGCGAGCAGTGCACTCGCGTGGCCGCGCCTCACCCACACGTGGCATCTGCCCTGCCCCTGGGCCACACCCAGCTCTGGATCAGGGGTCACTGCTGGTGAGGCTTGGGGGCTATCTGGTGCCTTGGTTGAAGCCTGGACAGTTGCGTGCAAGGCAAGAGCCCTTCCAGCTGTCTCTCTCCAGCCCCCCAAGTCCGCTTTCAGCTCTGAATATTCCACACCCGAGGAATAAACTGACCCCACAACTCAGCACCATCACCTGGCCATGATTAGCTGATGCAGGAGCCCATGAGGACTCCCAAGGGGCCACAGATCCAAGCAAAGCCCTGTGGCTTTGTGCACAGACAGTATGCACACACTGCAGACGCATGCACGCACGGCACTGCACGCACACGCACACACATGCATAGGCTTTCGCGGGACAAGCTCCCCAGAGGGTCTCACGGGACCCACAGTGGTGCCTGCAGGGTGCCCGTACCCCTCACTCCATCTGGGCAATCCGTGCAGCGGGGTGGAGCCAGCCCCTGACATGAGGCACCTCCTGGAAGTGGCCCAGCAGAGCCTCTTCCTAGCAGGATGGAATGCAGCACCAGGCAATGGCCTGGGGCTTTGCACAGCTGTGCAGAGCTGTGCCTGCACCACAGGATTCTTTGCTCCGGGACGTGTGGACAAGCACTTTACCCAGGGAATCCTGAGTCATAGACCCCAGACCCTGCCTCCCCATCCACCTCAGGGGCCAGGGCAGGGAGGGAGGAAGCCGAGACTCAGAGGGGGACCACAGGCTGCAGGCAGGCTGGTCTAGCTGCTTCCGAGCACTGGGGGGGGGGGCACCTGCAAGGGGCAGAGCACTGGGCCCTTGATGCTGCCCCTGGCCCTGACAGCACTGTGGGGTCAGAGGGGCATCTCCGCACCCTGGGCAGCTGAGGGCGCATCTCAGCCTGAGGGTCTCCGAGGCCTCCTGGCTACACACACCCTTGAAGCCCCGACATGTGGGCAGGGCCTGGAGTCCCAGAGCCCCCATGTGGGCCAGCTTGCTGCCCCCCCCCCGCCCCAGTTCCACGGCACACGTAGAGGCAGAGACGGGTGGGCTCGGGCTCGCACTCGCGGGGCGTACCATGCTGCTTGTAGATGGGAGGCCGCCTGTAGATGTTGTCTTTGATGCCAGTCTCTGGGGAGAGCAGAGGGCAGCGTCAGGCACACAGGGCTGGCTCCCGGAGGGAGGGGGACACATGAGGAGGAAATCGGGTGGGGGCAGTACAGGGCACCAGAGAGGAGGCACACGGGTAGGAGAGACGGATCCCAGGCGGTGGGGCCGAGAGGCAGGTTCACGGGGAGGGGAGCAGAACTTTGGGGACGAGGCCTTCGGACACCTACCTGGGACGTGGAAGTGCCGCGGGGCCTGCTGGTAGGTGGGCTGGGGGGGCTTCCCGTCCGAGGCCACCGAGAGGCTGGGGGTGCTCCGGCCACTTTCACTGCCTCCAGGCGGGACAAGGCAGCAGGTGGAGGAGAGTAGAGTGTGGCACTGCAGTCACCCAGCCGCCCAGAGCCCCTGCGCCCCCACCCCCGCCCTGCCTCCTCCTGCACTGGACATTGACCCCAAGTCCAGTGTCCACCTGGGACTCCCTCCGAGGAGCGAGGTGACAGATCAAGAGGCACCCTTGAGCCCCCCCTGCCTCGGGCGCCAGTGGCTGCAGGGACCTGACCTTGACCCCGTGTTCCTGGAATGCCACTGTCCCTCAGACTCCCTCCACTGCACCCCAGGGCGGTGTGCCCCATGTCCACCCGGGGCCAGGCTCTCGGCTGTGGGTCACGGGGTGTGGGCCCAGGGGTAGATGGTGCGTGGTGGGCATCTGTGGGGCCCCTCAGAGAGAGGCTGCACTCAGCTACCAACGGACCTGTGCCCTAGCCCGGGTCAGCACCAGGCCAGGCACAGCCTCTGCCACCCAGTGTCCTTTGTCATCCTGAACAGCAGCGCTGCTGCTGTCCACGCCCTCCACCACGGCTGGGCCCCAGGGCCGGCCATGGGCTGATCCCAGAGAGGGCACAGCTGGGCCATGAGAGCGGAGTGCAGAGTCTCAGGCCCTCCGCAGCCAGGCCTGGGGGGCTGCAGCCAAGGGAAGGAAGCTGCCGGCAAAGGCAGACCGGCATGCAAGAGCGCCCCCTGCAGGGCAGTGTGCACGCTGGGGGGGCAGTGAGGGGAGAGAGTGCCCCGCCCCGCAGGGCATGACAGGGACAGTGAGGGGAGAGACCGACCCTCCCCCCAGCAGGGCGCTGTGTGCCTGACAGGGACAGAGAGGGAGGAGAGCGCCCCCTGCAGGGCTGCGTATGCGCGAGGGGACATTGTGGGAGGAGAAAGTGTCCCCTCTTGACCCCCCCCTTTAGGGAGCATCACCCCAGCCTGCCCCAGAATGCCTATGTGTCCTGGAGGTGCCCAGCGATGACACTGCATCCTCACGTGTTAGGGCAGCTCTGAGCCGAGCACCAGGCCTGCGGGGCAGCCCCTGGCGATAACCCCTGGGCCAAGGGGGCCACTGTGCTGTGGGGCTTCAGGAACTTCGGGATGGCAGCGTCCAAGCACCCCCAAGGGACCCCTTCTGCAGCCTTGGGCCGAGGGTCCTGAACCGCATTCGGGGGCTGCAGCACAACCCCCCAGGACACCCACAGACAGTGCACCCTGTTCCGTGGGGAGCCGTTCGTGGGGTGCCCTGCTGCTGACAGGCACAGAGATCTTGGGGGCCATGCCTGTCCCCAGGTATGTGGCTCCACCTAATCTTTGTGACTTTCTGGGGCCCTGGAAGTGAAAGGCTCCCTCCAGGAGCCGGCCCGGGGGTGGAGCTGGCGGACCCACGGACCCTCCGAAGGAGCCCCAGTGGGCGGGAGACGCAGTCGCGGAGCAGAGCCACCAGCGTTCCCCACGCCTCTGTCAGTGCTGCCACGAGGCAGGAGCTGCCCCACAGAGCTGGGGAAGCACACACAGGCCACGGTGAAGATGCCAGGTCACAATCGAGGGCAGATGGACTTGGGGACCCCGGCCCTGCCCCGCTCTCCTTCGAGGAACACGAACACAGAACAAGGGGCTCATGAGACACAGCAGGGCACAGGCAGACGAGGGGCCATGCGGGACGCAGACGGGACCCTGCGCGCCTTACCTCGGAAGTAGGGGATGTAATGGTGTCTGAAGGCGGAGGTGGGGCTGGGGTGTTGGGACTGGGACAGGCAGCTACTGGTACCAACACTCACAGTACCAGCTGCGGGCAAGAGAGCGAGTGAGAGCCGGCCCGCCCGGCCCGACATGCCAACGCTCCCCGCCCCCGCCGTTCCCCCGGAAGGACGCGTGCCTTTTTGAAGGGTCAGCAGGTCGCTCACGCCAGGCTGCTGCGGTTCAGCCCTGACCCTGCGTGGGGCCTGGAGGAAGGTCCCCGGGCACCCCGGAATGACCTGCCCTGCAATCACCCATTACGGGCTGGTCAAGGCCAGTGCAGGCCACTGAAATGCAGTGGTCAGGGTGCCAGAGGGCACCTGGAAAGGGCGTTCAGTCAGGCTCATGTGCTGCCCGCCCACACGCACAAACTCACTCGGCACTCACTCATCCGCTCACCCCATCATCACTCATCCACTCCCAAATTCACCCTCTCACTCGTTCATTCACTCATTCACTCTCCCAATCACTCACCCGTGACTCGTGCATTCAGTTCACCCACTCCCTCGTTCACTCATTCATTCACTCCCATCCATTCATTCACTTTCCAGTTCACTCCCTCCCTTACCCATAACTCATGCAATTCATGCATTCAATTCACGCATTCCCTCACGCTCCCATTCTCACACCTGCTCATTTATTTATTCACGTGGTTACCCCTCCCTCCCTCCCCCGCCTGCCCCTCTCCACACACCTGCCGAGCAGGACGGAGCCGGAACACTGGCTGCGGGTAGTCACTGAGACCCGCCAATGAGCGAGTTCAGACTTTCCCAGGGGCTGCCAAGCTCAGCGCCCGCACCCAGGGAAAAGCCTTCAAAAAGGCGGGTGTGACATGTCCCTGGACATGCTGGGGACTCGGGTTTGAAGCTCAGGGACAGCGATGCAAAGCTGGACGCCAGGCAGGGGCGAAGGGACCCGGGGCTGACCCTGGTCTTCTCCAGAACGGCAGTGAGGGCGCAAGCGGGTGAGTCGGGCTTCTCTGCCGTGTGGACCTGCCTCCCGGCCCCTCCCGCCCGGGAGCTGAGACTGGACAGAGCCCCCTAACGGCTCCGTGTGGCCATAGCTGCTTCCCAGGAAAGGCCAGTTGCTGGCCAGCCCACACCCAGCCGCCTTCTTCCCCTGGGGCCAGGGACGCCAGTTCTCCCGAGGCCGAGGGCGGGAGAGCAGCTCCCTGGCGTGGCCACTTGCTGGGCAGTACCTGCGCGGCTGCCGTGCTGGGGCGAACGAGAGGTGGGGGTGTAGCGGCCGAGGCTGACCGAGCCAGTGGAGCTGGGGCTAGACGTCCGGCACTGCTTGCAGGAACGCTCGTCCTGGTCCCCCTGCAGACAGGCAAAGGCTCGCTGGCCCCCCACCCCCTGCCCGCAGGGGCGGAGGCGGCACTGGACCCCACTGGGGACCCTCCGCTTGCCAACCGCCCCTGGGACCCCAGGGAGAGCCAGCAAGGGTCCGCATTCTCCTCTCCCGCGGCAGGGGCTGCAGCCCGGCCCCCGGGCAGACCCCAAGCTTGGCTGGCAGGCCGTGTGAAGCCCTGTGGTGCATCTGCGGCCAGCAGGGGGCACCGGCTTGGCTGCCTTTTGCTGAGGGCCTGTGTGGGGCTGGAGGGGTGGGGCTCTGTGCTTCTGCTCTGGCCCCACCCCCAGGTTCCTCGGGGCTCTGCCCTCACACTCTGTCTTCCCAGCCCCCCCCCACTTCGTGGCTCCCTGGCCACATGCCAGGGGAAGCCGGAGGCTGGCGCCCCTTGCACGGGTGACCCCACCGCTGGATGCAGGGCAGCTCACTGACACAGCTTGGGGGGAGAGGCTCTCGGGGGCAGAGGGGCAGAGACCACGGGCGGCCCCAAAGGCTGTGCTCACTGGCGCCCCCCACTGGTCATCGTGCACATCCACACCCCGGGGGCCCTGGCACACCATGTGGCTCTGGGCTCCCTCCGAGGGACCCAACAAGGGGCAAGGGGGTGCAGGGAGCACCCTGGCCCACCACAGCAAGTGCTGCCCTAGTCATCTGGGTGGCAGCCTGTACCCACTGTCGGGAGTGAGGGGTGCAGGGACCTGCAGGGTATGTGCTGCTGAGTCAGGGGGCTGCAACCTGGAAGGCTCCATGCCTCAGTTTCCCCGAGAAGGTGCAGAGCCAGGGTGGGCGTCCTGTTGTCCTGGTCCTGCATGCGGGGCTCAGGCACGCGCCTCTGTCCCTGTGCTAGGGACCTGCTGGAGAGGGGCAGCTGCCCACCCCTTGCTGGGCCCTGGGTGTGTGGCACTCTGGGGGGGTCACTGCGAGGTCTGGCTCCCCAAAAGCTCTGGGTCCCTGAGAGGCAGGTGCCCCTGGCCGGGCATGCAGCAGGGAGCCGAGCATGGGGCAACTTAGAAGGAGCCACCGGAACCCGGACACAGGGAGGGTGGAGGGAGGGGACAACAGCTCTGCAAGGGCAGGGGACAGCGGGCAGGGGGCAGCGGGCAGCGGGCAGGGGGCGTGGTGAACAGTTACCTCTGTCAGTGTTGGCGAGGGCACCTGCGCAGGCTGTGGACAGAAAGTGACCTTGTGAGTGGCCGCACGGCCCTGCCCACTGCTGAGCCTGCGGGCAGGTGTCCCTGTGGGTTGGGACCGGGGGGAGGGTGGGGGGGACGAGCTCCCGGAACCCAGGACAGAGGAAAACGGCAGGGGCGTCCTCCGGGGCCCACCTGGATGCCGACCCGGCCGGGCGCAGGCGCAGGGCTGACGTAGGGGCTGTAGGAGATCATGTCGGGCCTGTCAATGTCGTAGATGGCCTTGCTCCGCGGCAGCGCTGCCAGGTCCCGGTAGTCCAGAATCTCATCACCCAGCCTCGCCTGGCACAGGGGACGGCCTGTCGCCCAGAGCAGAGCCTCGGAGCACCCATGCCCACCTGCGACCCAGCAGGACCCGAGGACCACGCAGGCACCACACAGACACACACAACATACGGCACACATGCACACACGCAGCACACAACACACACACGTAGCGAATGCACAGAGCACACACGACACACAAGCTGGAACACGCACAAGCACCTGCAAGTGCACAAAAGACACAGGAATGTGCCCCAACACACACGTCTGCCTGTGCCAGCAGACGTGCTGAACACACAGATCAGTACCCGTGTCACGCAGAGCGCACACACACACATGCACACAGCACACAACACACCCGGCATGCATGCGGGAGGGGGCAGGGGCTCAGAAGCCCCACAGCCCTGCACCCCCACACACGGCGACACGTGCCCGCCTGCACCCATCCCTGGGTGTCTGCCCGCTGGGTCCCCCCTCCACTCACATAGATGACCCGGCTCGGAGACCCGGACGTGCTGGAGGCGGGTGCAGAGACGATGCTTTCAGAGGAAGTCCTGGTTTCCTGGGGGGCGGGGGGGGGGGCAGTGGACAGTCAGGAACCTTCTAGAAGCATTCTCAGGACAGCCGGGCTGGCCCCGGGATGGGTTTCTAACTTGGAGGGCGAAGAAGCTGGGTCTGGGGGGCAGGCTGGGGCCGGGATCTGGCCCTGCTCCCTCGGGCTTCGTCCCAGGATGCTGAAGCATTCCGGGCAGGTGCACCCCTCTCCCGCAGGCTGGCCCCCAACACATTCCCCAACACGTCACGCCTCGTGCTCCTCTGTGGCATCACCCAGCCATCCCCTCTGGGCCCTCCTGCACCGGCCCCTCAGACCCGTTCCCTGAGCACCCACGGCCTGGCCTGCCCATGCCGCATTCTGGGGCCTTGTCACAGCTGAACAAGACCCCTAGGGGCCTCCCTGCTGCCACGGGACTGACAGGGGTCAGAGGGCTCCCAGGGCCTGGTGCAAGCACCACACGGGTGAGGCACAGTGAGGGCAGCCCAACCCCTAGCACCCCACAGCTGCTCAAGTCTTTCTGAGCCCCGGGGGGGAACCCACGCCAGGACATAGAGACACGCACAGAGACAGCCGTGGGGACACAGGGACACGCCAGGACTCGCCTGCCCCAGCACCAGGGGGACACTGCCAGGCCCCCACAATACGTGAGGGACAGGAGGCTGCAAGGGGCAGAGCGACCGACCTGTAAGGCGAAGGGCGCACTGCCCGGGGACCCCAGACTGCACAGCAGGTTCTGCACCTGCAAGGAAAGAGGGGTCGGGCCCTCAGCACTCCCGGCTGGCCAGGCTCCCCCTCCCCTCCCCTTCTCCCTGAGGCTACTCTTCCTCTCTCTTCCTCCTCCCCCACCCCTCCTCCTGCCCCACCTCCTCCTGCTCTTCCTCCACTTGCTCCCCCCACTCCTGCTCCTTCTCTGCCCTTGTGCTGGTCCTCCTGCTCCAGGTGCTCCCCTCCTCTCCTTCCCCTCCTCCCCACCCCTGCTACTCCTGTTGCCTCATGCCTGGCCCCTCAGCTCCAGCTCAGCACAAGGTCTGGACATGGACCTTGGGGGAGGGGAAAATGTCCCCAGCCCCACTTCTCCCACCAGTTCCCCAAGGCTCTGGAGCCCAGATGATGTGATACTGCAGGCCCGAGCCCGCCCATGAGACGGCCACATGTCACAGCCTGGGCAGGGCCGGTGCCTCTTCCTGGGCTGTGAGCACAGTCAGGGCATGCCAGGACATACCAGGACACGCTAGGACATGTAAAGATACGAATATGCACCAGCATATATGAGGACACACCAAGACATGACAGAACATACAAGGCCAGGCCAAGACAGGTGATGACCACCAGGACATGTGAGGACACACCATGAGATGTGAGGCCGTGCCAGGACACGCCAGGACATGAGGACATGCCAGGATGTGTGAACACGTGCCAGGACACACAGGACACGTGAGGCGTGCCAGGACGCATGAGGCCTGTGGCGTGAGTCAGCGGGGCTGCTGCATGGGGGTCCCAGGACTGGGCCTCAGGCCGACCTGAGCGAGACCACCCCCATCTCTGCAGAACTGAATCCAGGGGCGCCCAAGGGAAGCTCCCAAGCACAGGCGAAAGCACGGCCAGCACAGGAGCCGGGGAAGCAGCTAGGGGGGCAGGCGGAGCAGGTGACCGCTCGCCCGTCCCGTGCAGCTCCCAGGCCCACAGGGGAGATGCACGGGGGCCCTGCGGCGGGGCATGGACCCCGGAGTTGGCACCCACCAGCCCCTGCCCCAGTGCCCGGACACAGCCCCAGCATCCAGGCCCTGCCCCGTGCCCAGCCCAGCCTAGCCCAGCCCAGCGCACAGCCCGCCAGGAGCAGAGCGCCATCTGCTCTGATGGGGGGTCAGCAGTGACCCCCACGCTGACCCTCACCATGGGGACACTCAGCCACCTCTGGGGGGAGGGCGCTCGCTTCAACCCACTGACAAGGTCAGTCAGGTGAAGGATGCTGGCCTGATGGTGCCCCAGGCACTGTCCTTAACCTCAGGGCAGCTGTGTCCTGGCAAGCTCCTCTGCAGCCCCGTCTGGAGCCCTGCCCTTCCTCACGCGTGGCCAGAACCTTCTCTCCCGGTCTGGCTCTGTCCCAGCCCCGCCTGCCCCAACGCTGCAGCCACTTCTCACCCCCACTCTCACACCTCACCCCCAAGCTCCCGCAGGGTCCAACAACCGGGGCCCAGCACTCCTGGACATGAGCTGGGATGAAGGGCCTCAGCTGGTCCCAAGTGCCCACAGGGTTCTGGGTGCTGAGGACGGTGGCTCTTCCGGGTGCTGTCCCCTGAGAGGCCCCCGAACCCAGAGCAGGGTCACCACACCCAGAAGTGGGGGTGCCCTAGTCATGTGACCCAGGCAGCGGCCAAGCACGGAGCTGAGGGGCCCCCCTGGGGTATGCGGTCTGGTTCCCATGACCCTCTTGCCCTCTGGGCCCTGCAGCTGTTGTGGGGCCCCACCCCGGTGACATCCGTGTCGTCCCGGCCAGAGCTGGTGGGCAGGACAGACAGGACATGCCGTCAGCCCCATCGCCCCGCCCGGGGAAGGAGGGACCCACCTTGCTTCTGTCTTCTGTGCGGGCAGCTTGGCGACACGCCGGGTGCCAGATGCAAGAACCTGCGGGGGACAGGGTGTGAGCGGTGCCCGGCTCACAGCCCGCATGGGGCTCCTCAGCACTGTCCCTCCACTCGCCGAGGACCCTGAACCCCGGCACTCCCATAAGCCCCGTAAAGGCCCCACCTGTCTGGGCCCTGGGGAAGGGCAGACGGTTCCAGCTGCGACTGAAGCTCCCGGAGGCCCCAGAAGGCTGCGGGCACGGTGGGGGCTGGCACTGCGCCCCAGCACGCCTCTACTTCCCTAAACAAACCCCGGCACGCAGCTTGGGGGGGCTCATTCACTGTCCACCCCCCCCCCCCGCCCCGCCTGCAGACACCTCCCCCGGTAGCCTGTGGGGATACAGAGCCTGCAGGGAACAGGCCGGAGGAGGTGGGGATGGGGCCTCCGCATCCCGGCACCCCGTTCAGGCCTGGAGTCACAACATCAGGGGTGCCGTGGGGACTCCAGGGGTCCTCATGGTCCCCAGGCTCAGCACAGTGGCTGAGAGGCACTCCAGCCAGGGCCCCTTGGGGGCAGCTGGCGACTCTGAGATGCAGCCCCCTCAGCTGGCCGAGACCTAGAATCGCCCAATGGCAGAGGGCGGCCCCCACCCCCAGCAGCCCAGCACGGCCCAGGCCAAAGGATCTTTTCATGCCTCTGGAGAGCAGGTGACCCGAGGGACAGCTGGGGATGCAGGAACCAGGCTGCCCCGCATGGCCATGTGGGCTCAGAAAGGGGGTTCTGTCTGATTCCCAGCCCCCACTAGGCTCCGCAAGACAGAGGCGCCACAGAACGGGGCGGGGGAGGAGGGAGCTCCGACACAATCCCAGCCCTGGGGTGCGTCTCCCCATCTCCAGGGGATTCTTCCTCCCCAGCCTGCCGGCCGCCTCGCGCACACGCTTCCTGCAGTCCTCGGCCAGGCCACCAGGGGTCGCCCCCGAGCCGTCCAGTAAAGCCACCCCGTCGACGCTGTCCACTCCCCGTCGACGTTGTCCACTTGCCCACCCGCCCTTGCTCTCGGCCACCCCGCCCCGTTCTCCCAGCCGGCCGACCCTCCCCCACGGCCTGGACCCGCCCTCCTCACTGCTGCCCACCCCACCCCTGGCAGCACCTGCTGGGCCATCCCAGCATCCCTACGCCCGCGCCCACGAGGTGGCTAAGTGCCAAGACCTTCTGGACCAAACTTGGGTGGGGCTCCTCCTAGCTGCGACGGACGCGGCCCACGGTGCCACCCCTCGATAGGGACCAGGCTGGCCCCCGACCCCCGGGGCCTGACGCGGGGCGGCTCAGCACGTTTAGCAGGAAAGCCCCCTCCCCCGCCCCCACTCTGCTCCTCGGCAAAGGGGGATGAGCGCTAGAGGCAGGAGCAGAACTCGGAAACCCGCACGGGCGAGACCCCACTGGGAGGCGCTGCGGGCCCGGGACCGTCGTCAGCGACGGCTGCAGGCACCATCCAGGAAGGGGCGGGGCCTCGGCGGGGCGGGGCGGGGCGTCCGGGGGCGGGTCCCCTGGGGCAGGGCCACGCTGGACACGAGGCGATGAAGGGGCGGCCACTGGGCGGGGCTACGATGGGGCAAAGCTACCGTGGGGTCCGGGCCTCCGCGGGGGCGGAGCTGGTGAAGGGGCAAGTCCCGTGGGAGGGGGCTATACTGGGGCGGGGCTGGCGAGGGGGTGGGCGCAATGGGGGAGGGGCTCGGGTCACCCTCTCCCTGGGCTGACCAGGGAACCTGTCGCTGGGGCGGGCCTATGTGGGGCCGATCTCTGGGCCGGGCCCTCTGGCGGCGAGCTGTGCGGTGACGGAGCATCGACTCGCCAGGTCACCTGCAGGGGAAGGGGGCTGCAGGGGCCCGGCGCCAGGCGGGAGCAGGCAGTGGGGCCCCTGGGCCTGGGGAAGAGCCTCACCTTGCAGGTACATCTCCTCGCCCTCCACGAAGGTGCGGCCGCAGCGCACACACACGGCACACAGGGGGTGGTAGTGCTTGTCGCCGGCCTGCGAGAGAGCAGAGGGGTCAGTGGCTGGGAGGCGCGGGCAGCGCCCACGGGCCGCGGCATTGGGGTGCAAGATCCGGGGCTGAGGGTCCCGCTGGGCTGTGCCCCGCAGAAACCGCCTCTGGGGCCCAGTGTGTGTGGGCGGGGGGAGTCCGGGCGAGCACGCTGGGGCTGCAGCTGGGAGGAGCCCCCACCCGTCCGACCCTGAGCTGGGGGAACCAGGGTGAACACCGCCGGCACCTTCTCACCCTCTCCCTGACTTTCCAGCTGAAGCTGGCTGGGTCTTCCAGGATGGACACCGGTGCTGGGTGCTCCATCGACTTGCCCTGGCACCCCGGGGTGCCTCTGGCTTTTGCATGACCTGCCTGTCCCTCCCCCCTACCCGTGCCCTTCGATGGCAGTCACATGGTCTGGGCAGCATTCTGCAGGGACCAGAGCCTGAACATAGCTCCTGACTTCCCATGGTGCCAGCCAAGGTCACCCCTGGCCCATAACCTCAGACCTCCGACCTCTGACATCAGTTCTCCCTGACACAAGCCCAGTCCCACGTGAGCAGCCCCCCAATCTCCCTGCCCTGTGACCAGCCTGGTGTGCATGCACAGCTGTCCCCGTGAGGGCGGAGAGAAGTGGAGGGGACAGCAGCTCTCCGTGGGCTGGACACCCCGGCTGAGAGCCCCCTAATGCGCCAGGCAGCCGGCCCCCAAGTAACCCCGCAAGGGGGAGGGGCCACGGGAGAGGGGGCGGGGGAGCCCAGGAGGCCTTAGGCAGGGGGGCCTGCACCACCATCCTCTCCTCGACCCCCGTACCCAGCACCCAGGTGGGGGGGTGGGCATGAAGTGTTCTGGGGAGTCTGCTGAGCAGCACTGGAATGGAGGGAGGAGGGAGGGTGGGCGGCTGGGGAGCCTGTGGAAGGCGCTGGCAAGGAACGAAGTGGGTCGCGAACAGCGCTCCTGTTTCCATGGGGGCCCACGTGGCTGCCAGGGGGGTGAGGGGCTGAGCTAGGCGCTCCCCACCCATCACCTCAGGCTGGGAGGCTCCAGCTAACATCAGAACAAAACAAGCGAGGTGGGGAAGGGTGCGAGGGTGACGCCCCCACACTCAGCGCCTTGCCCCGGCACATCCAATCTGCACCGCTGCCCTGGCAACCAGCAACCCCTGGGGCGGGCACCGAGGGCGACCTGGGGTCCTGCGAACGCGCCCGTCGGCTGGCGGCACCCCAGGCCGGCACGAGGCCCACGGGTGCTCCTGCCGCATCAGCCCCCCTGAGGGGGCGCGGGCACCCCAGCACAGCTGGCCCTGGGTCCTACCTGCAGGTACCCTCTGTCCCGATCCTGCCACCTGCCGTCCGGGGTGCCGGATGCCACGGGCTCCTCTGCAGAGCCAGGTGCTGCCCGCCCCCGCACGGGAGGAGACTCGGAGCAGCGGGGGAGGCGTTCGCTGAGGCAGGCGCCCCAAAAGCCGCGTCTCCCACTCACCCAGCGCCCCGGTTCTGTGCTTGGTCCTGAAGGACCTGCCTGGCACCCCACTGCACACGGCCACCCCGCGGCAGGCAGCTGGGCCAGCACTGAGCAGGGCGGGTCTGCAGGGCTTTCTGGAATGTTCTTCACCGGGCTCTGCAGGTGCTGAGAGCTGGGGGTCCACAGGCCCTGCCCCGAGTCTGTTGCCCCCTAGTCTGCTTCCCACAGAAGAGACCCCACTGCAGGGGCCCGTGGGCACCCTTGGGGGTCCTTGGTGTCCACCTGGAATTCAGGTCAGAGGTGAGGTACCCAGGGGACTCCAGGGCTCCCGGGGGCCTTCAGGAGGGTCTCGGCCCCTGGGATATGGTTTACTGGTAGCCAGAGTGCCCCCCTGAGAGAGCCTGAGAACCTCTTCCTGGGAGCACCCCACTCTGAGCCTGGTGGCCCCCACATGAGGAGTCCGGCACAGGACCTCCAGCTCCACACCACTGTCCCCCCGGACCCGCTTGGCGGTCACTACAGAACCTCTCCCGCAGCCCGTGGCCAGGAGGGTCTAGCAGGCTGAGTGGACTTGCCGCCCAGTCCAGGGCTGACGGATGGACAGCATGTCGGTGGAAGGGACTAGGGACACTTGGTGGGAGCCGGAGAGCTGGAGGCCACTGGGGGCAGGAAGGGGCAGGGGGGCAGAGGCCTTGCACATGGCCAGCGGGGTGAGGTCCCACATCCCACAGGGTCCCCCAAGTACCGCCAGGAGCGATCCCTGAGCACTGCTGGGTTGGCACCCCAAGCCCAAACAGCAGAAACTGCTGGGTGCAGCCGGCCGGCCCCTGGGTCCGTGTCTCAGGAACACGGTACCATCCCCACCTGTGTCCCAGCCGGGTATCTGGCACAGAGGTGCACAGGCGTGCTGGGCCCTTCCAGACCCCACTGCAGGGAGGGAGGCAGAGGGGCTGCCCCCAGCCCAGGACAGACCCTGGGGGGGATCATGATGGGCGGGTAGGGAAGACCAGGTGCTCAGTCTCCTCCCTGCACCCCACCCCTGTGCCAGGGCCAGGAGCGGCCAAATGGCCATGGGCTGGAGGGAAGGGACCCCAGTTCTGGTAGACAGCTGTGCCCACAAGGAGCCCCTCTAAAGCGCTGAGGCCACTGTCCCAGGTCAGCCTGATCCTCACCCTTGGATCTCCACGAAGACGTGACCGGGGGTGGGGGGGGGACCTACCTAGCACCGTCAACTTGTAAGGGGCAAGGAGACAGCATCCAGGAAGGCTTCCCGGAGGCAGTGGCACACACTGGGTGGCCCTGGGAATCAGAACTGTGCCCCACGGCAGAACTGGAGGACGAGGTGGGCAGTGATAGTGAGGGGTCCCGATGAGGGGCTGCTCCTAACTCCCGGAGCTAGACTTGATGTGTGGGGTGCAAGTCCCCTACCTCCAGCACATGCCCAGTGATGAACTTGCCGCAGCCGTCACAGCGCACCCCGAACTTGGTGTGGTAGTCGGCCTCGCAGTAGGGCAGCCCATCCCTGCAATGAGAGGTGCCCGCTGGGAGCCGCCCCTGGGAGCCCCCGCCCGGGGGGTCGAGTCTGGTAAGTCTGGCGGTACCGGGCACAGCAGGACCCTGAGGTCTCCCACCTATTGGGGCCTCCAGACCCTCCCCAGAGCAAGATGTGCCCCAGAGAGCGGGCCCTCGTGGACGCTGGGGCAGGCACCATCAAGGGCAGAGGGCAGAGGGGTCAGGCCAGGCAGGGAGAAGCTGGAGGGAGAGTGGGGGGGTCCCGGGAGGCCGGGCTGCAGATGTGGGAGGCTGGGGAAGATGCTGCCGGCCCTCGGCCACCCGGAGCCTCGCCTGCCAGGCAGGGAGGGGGCAGGTGGGAGAGGAGGTGGGGCCCGGCCTGGAGGCACCCCTGCCCCAGCCAGGGCAAAGCTGACATCTCCATGGCAACACCGACTCCACCCCCCTCAGTGCACCAGGAGGCGGCTCATAGGGCGGCACTGGGCGCCTGCCCCCGGGCCATACCCCGCCCCCAGAGCCTGCAGCCATGACTGGGTCTGGGGACAGGGTTTCCTGCTGGGTCAGGGCCAGCCCAGGGGCCAGGTGCTCCCCTCATTTCCCCCAACGCAACCGAAACTGGCGCGTGCCTGGACGTGTGCTCTGACTTGTGTGCATATAGGTATGACATGAAGAAGGGCACGAACATATGTGAGTACAGATGCACACGTGTGCATGCATGCAGGCAGACGTGCATGTGTACACAGGAGCCCACGTGTGAGTGCATGTACAAGCTTACTCGTAGGTGACTATGCACATGTAGACTGTATGTAAGCATGTCTGTGGGCATGTGTGTGTCCATGGAAGTCCCAGGACTCTGTGGCATCTGTGGCACGGGCATGGGGAGACCAGGAGCCCCCCGACACTGCTCCGACCCCCGACAGGAGCGCCCACACTGCTCCAGCTGCCATGTGGCCCTGCTGGTGCTCTGGGGCCTCGTCACTGTCTAGCGGCGGTTCCCAGGGATGTGGACGGTCTTACACCTATATTCCCCCCACATGGCCGACCCGAGTTCGATTCCTCCGCCCCTCTCGGAGAGCCCGGCAAGCTACCGAGAGTATTCGATATGCCAGACACAGTAACAACAAAGTCTCCAATGGAGACGTTACTGGGCCCGCTCGAGCAAATCGACGATCAACGGGAGGGCCTTTACCTTTACCTTTACCCACCCGGCAGACTGTGCCCGGGCAGCAAGCACCCACCCGTGTGCCCCCTAACTGTGCGGGGGCAGGGGGTGGGCAACACTTACTTGCTGATGTATTCTGCATTCAGCTGCATCCCGCATGCCCGGCACCGGAAACAGCCCAGGTGCCAGTGGCGGTCCAGGGCCACCAGGGACTGGCCATCCTTGATCTCCATGCCACAGCCACCGCAGCCTGGGGAAGAGCAGCGCGGGGGGCTGGGGGCTGGGGCCCAAGATCCCCACGAGGACCCGTCTGCACAGAGGCAAGTTGGCTAATGGGGCTCACACAGCCTCGCTGCACGTGCCCACCGGGACCCCAGGTTCTGGTGTGTTCCCCCTCTTCCTGCCTAGCTGGGCCCCAGCGGGAAAGCAGAGTGGCGGACAGGTCACAGGGCCCCTGGGTGTGACGGCTGCCCCTACTCTGAGCTCCTGCCTCACCTCTGGCTCTCCCAGGCAGCCCACCAGGTCACCCCCACACTGACCACACACCTCACAGGAGGGACAGACAGAGCTGGCCCAGGCACACAGGTGGGAGGCAACGGGCAGCTGCCCGCTGTGACCGTGAGCCAAGGCTGCTTCCCTGAGCCCACTGTGAGGAGGTAACTGAAGGCTCAGCCCGCCTCTGTCCGCCCGGGGAGTAGGCAGGAGAGGGCAGGCGGGAGGGGGCCGGTGGGGAAGTGAGAAGCGGTCACAGGCACCCCCATTCTTCTACCCCCAGGCCAGGCCCACCACACTCCTGCCAGCAGAGTCTCCGCCCTGCAACCCCACTTACTCCAGAGGCCCTGGGCCGCGTGCGAGCCGCCTCCGGCCGCGATGGGCAGGGAGCACTTCTGGCACACACATTCCTTCCCATTGAAGGTCACACGGTCCCCAGGCGGAAAAGGGAGCCTGCACGGGGAGAGGGCATGCTGGAGGGGGCCTGTCCACCCGTCTGGGGCCGCGGGGGGCGACAGCTCCCTTGGGGCTCCTGATGGCACCACGGGGTGTGAACGTGGGCACTCTGGGGCATGAGCATGCGGGACCACGTGCCAGGCGTCCTCCGGCCAGCTCCTGACACCCTGGCTTCAGGGCCGACTGTGCCAACAGGTGGAAGGGACAAAGTGAAGAGGGCCTGGCGAGGGCGTCAGGGGAGGCCACGGAGAGGCCGGCCCTGCTATGCTGCGTGAGTGGCAGCCTCCGTGCAATGCCATCTGCACCCCACCAGGGCACCCACGGGGACGCCCCTCCCCCAGTCCCGCCTCTCCCCCTTCTCCCCGTGGCAGGGCAGGCGTTTTGTCCCAGCACTTCCGCTGCCCTCCAGGTGCCACCAGTTCTACGGGGAGGACTCAAGCCGCTGCTGCTTCCAGAGCTGTCCGGCCCTCTCGGAAGCCCAGTGCCTCGCGTCCGCTTCACACCAGGGCTGCAGGGCTGAGAAGGGGCGCGGGCCACCTACGGGGTCAGGCCGCACACGCACCGGCAGGTGGCGCACACGAAGCAGTGGGGGTGGTAGGTCCTGCCCAGCGCCGACACCACCTCGCCCTCGATGAACTGCTCGCAGCTAGAGCAGCGCGTGCCGTAGAGCCGCTGGTAGTCGCTGGTGCAGATGAACTCGCCCTGTCGCACGAAGAAGCCACCCTCGGCCAGGTCACAGCCGCAGGCTGGGGAGACACGGGCCTGAAGCACGGGCCCCCCCACCCGGAGACGCATCCCAGAGGGGCAGCACATGGTGGCCATCTGTGCTGAGGGCCAGCCTAGCCTCTGCCGTGCCTGGACCTGGCTGCTGGGCGTCCAACCCACCGGCTCCAGCTGCCGCACCCCAAACCTGCCCACATCAGCACAGCACCAGGATTGAGGCCCTTGGGTCCACGGAGAGCCAGGATTGAGGCCTCTTAGGTCACCAGGACCCCCCTCCGTCCCCCTCTGCCCCATTCTCCACCACCACCCCTGCCCACCTACCCTCTGGGACACATGCCCGCTGGGAACCCTGCCCCATGCAGAGCCACCCAGCACAGGTGAGGGCCTGATGCCACGCCCGCCTCGCCCCGCAGGTTAGTGCTGCTGGGGGCAAGATGGGCCACGGGGGGCTCGGGGGAGCGCTGACCTTTGCACACGAAGCACTTGATGTGGAAGTACTGACTCTGCACGCGCAGCACCTCGCCCCGACAGGGCGCCCCACACGTGCGGCAGAGAATGGCAGAGCCAGGCGGCTTCTCCTGGGCGCTGGACAGGGCCTGGGGCTCCGACACTGCAGGTGAGAGTGGCGGTGTGAGTGCAGACTCAGGCCACAGTCGTCCCCAGGAGCCTCCACTGCCCTGTCTGGCCAGCACGCCTCCCCCCTCAGAGCCTCAGGCTGGAACACCATAGCAGCGGTTCCCTGAGGGGTGGGGGCCGGAGGGCCGGACGGGTGCAGGGGATTACGGAACATCTCGGGGCAGGGGAGGTGGAGGCGAAAGAGGGTCCCCAGACCCAGACAGCCCAGGAGTGAGGCGATGGTCACTCCTGCCGCCGAGGGAGGACTCCCCCTTGACAGGCTGAGTGAATCAGAGGTTGCAATAACGCGCCTGGAGGCCCTGAATCCCATGGCCACTCCACACACGTGAGCACAACATGCACACACCAACACATACATACACATGAGCACACACATACATCCACACATATGCACATGAGCACATGCACGCACAGGTTTACACACATACACACGTACATACACACATGAACACACATGTATATGCATGAGCACATGCACGCACATTTCCATACAGATACATACAGATACATGCATGAGCACATGCACATGTCCACACACATACATGAGCACATATATGTACATGCCAACTCACACGGTACATGAACACATGCACGTACACATGTACATACATGAGCACACATGCATGAGTCTACATAGATGTGAACACGTGTACATACATGACCATGTTCACACGCACACTCACACATACATGCACATGTCCACGCATATGCATGTGAGCACATATATGCACACGTTGCACACATGAGCACACACATGCAGACACCCACCTGTATGCACATGAGCATACATATACACACGCCCACACATATACACACACGAGCACACAGATGCATACATCCATACATACATGCACATGACACATACATGCGCATGTCCACACACACGTGAAGAGATGCATGCACACATCTACACAAACACAGTCCAGACATATACACACATATACATGCCCACACATACGCACGTGAGCACACACATGCACACACACAAAGCTGCCGGGCTCTGAGACTCAGGCGCCCTCAGCAGGCCACTTTTCTATCCATGTCCCATCTGCCCCAGCCCGGCCCTGGGTCCAGCAGTGCCCCCCACCCGAGGGTGAGTTCTGGACCGTCGTCAGTGTCCTGCCCACAGGGTGGGCAGAGGAGGGACCAGTCAGGGTCACTGGAGGGGAGTCCTCTGGGCTGTGAGGGCACAGCAGGGACAATGGGAGCGGGCAGGAGTGACCTGTGTCTCCAGACACTCAGGCCTCGATCGACCACGAACTGCACCGGGGGAGCCTGTGCACCAGGACTTGGTCCGGCCCCGGATCCGGAATGAGTGCTGGCAGGAGTTCCCGCACAGCGGGCGCATGAACAGGATAAATGTCCACCGAGGCCCATAGCCATAGTCCCACCTACCCGGCACAGCATCTCTGATCAGCCCTGGCACGGCGGCAGAGGGCGAGGACTCACGCACGCCCCACCCAGGATGACCCCGGCATAAACAGGGGCGTGCGGCCCTGGCCTGGCAGGGGACACACCCAGCAGGAAGTCCCGGGGACATGCTGTGCCGACTCCAAGTCTGGGCTGGGGACAAACGGGCGTGAGTGGGTCTGAGGGAGGAGGCAGCCCGCTCCCCCACATGAGGACCTGCTGCCCTCGGTCCCTGCACCTGAGCGAGCCTCACTGGGAGAGTGCGGGGCTGGGCTGCCATCCAGGGGCAGCCATGGGGGCTGGTGTCCAGGAGAGTCCAGACTCCAGGCAGCAGTGCCCCGGGGTGCATAGGAGCCCAGCAGAGCTCCCAGGCCCCCAGGGTGCCCACAGCAGGGCGTGTTCCGGGACCCAGTAGTGTCGCCTGTGCAGGTCAGTGCACACGCCCACGTTTCCTCCACTAAAGGGGTGAGTGTTCCCAGAGCCCGGACAGTGGGGCCCCCACAGAACCATCCCCCCCAGCTGAGCACGGAGTGAAACCCAGCAGGCACAGCAGGAGCCTGGGACCAGGGCAGGGCTCCTTCCTGGTGGATGCCGGGATCCCCGGCCACGGAGCCAGCACCCCCGCCCATCCCCCTCCGCCGGCAGGCACGAGCCTGGCGGGAGCCCCCAGAACAGTGTGGGTCACTGTGGCTCCTGGACCCCGACAGCCACAGGCATGCGGCACCAAACGGCGAACAAGGAGACGTTTCTTCACGCTGCTGTGCACAGGCCCGTGTCTGTCACCCACAAATGCCCAGGCTCCTTGGCGCGGCTTCCCCGAGAACATGTGCAACCCCAGAACGCTGCCACCCCCAACCGACGGGTGAGGTCACTGAGGCTCAGCACCAGGTGGGGACTTGGGGTCCCAGCTGAGTGGCACACAGACACACCCCGCATCACCGCACCGCCGGCGAGACCCAAGGCCTGTGCCCACTTGTCGGGGACACAGCACACTGGAGGGCCCTAGAGGGAGACGCAGCTTGGAGCCAGCAGCCTCTGTTGCAGTGCTCACCTGTGTCAGACAGCATTCCTACGAGCACAGGTGGAGAGCAGGTGTGGACAACATACCCGCCCGAGGCTTCCACGCCCAGGGTGACAGCCCCTGCCCCTGCACTGTGACAGAGAGCAGAGAACTGTGGAGAAGCCAGGGCTGTGGCGCCTCCAGGAAAAGGACCTGTGTGTGGTCAGGGAGGGCTTCCTGGAGGAAGGGGTGTGGGCCAGGCAGGTGTTTCCAGAATTGTGGCAAGTGCAAGCTCATCTCACTTGCAATCCCAACCATGCAGCTGAATGAGTTGAAACACCCCTCCATGGCCCCAACCAACGGCATACTCAGAGCAATTTGTCTCCTTGGAGTAAGGAGAGGGGCTAGCTGTCACTTGGCACATCGGACAATGCGACAGTCAGTGTCAGTGTGTGTGAGTCACAGTGTCAGCGTGTGACACAGTGTCAGTGTGACAGTGTCAACATGTATAACAATGTGTGTGACAGTCACAGTGTCAGCATGTGTGATAGTGTCAGCGTGAGTGACAGAATCAGTGTGTGAGTCACAGTGTCAGCATGTGTGAGTTACAGTATCAGTGCGTGACAGTCAGTGTCAGTGTGTACAACAGTGTAAGCAAATGTGAGAGTCACAGTGTCAGCTTGTGAGTGTGAGCATGAGTCACAGTGTCAGTGTGTGGCAGTCAGTGTAGCGTGTGAGTCACAGTGTCAGCGTGTGACAGTGTCAGCGTGTGTGACGGTCTCAGTGAATGTGAGTCACAGTGTCAGCGTGTGTGACATTCTCAGCATCTGTGAGGGTGGTGGGAGCGGCTCTCGGCCACCCTTGTCCTTGTGGCAGGTCCTGCGCTTTTCCCAGCGCGGGGCCTCAGCCAGCCCCTCCCCCAACTCTCTGTGGCTGGGCGGGTGCTTGCTCCGCTCTGGCCCTCCTTCGGGGCAGTCAGGCTAATTATAACCCTCTCAAGCGGCCCAGCGCCGGGTCCTCCGGTGCCACACACCGCGGCCGACGGGCCTTTCCTTACCAAACTCCGACTGGCACAGGCTGAGCACAGGGGCCACGCAGCCAGGACTCTTGCTCAAGGGCTGCTGTGATGGACTCAGGGCACGGGACGGGGCTCCCAGGACCAGTCCTCAAGACCACCTCCAATCCAGGGCCTGCTGGCAGCGTCCTGGGCATGTCCCCGCTGCCTCACCGCAGCCAAGGACCCACCTGCAGCCACAGGTCTAAGACAGCAGCAGCCACGAGCCAGCAGCCCAAATGGGGCCTCCCCAGCCTCAGGGTCTGTGCCCCTCCAGCTCTGCTGCAACTCAACCACTCCGGGCAGTGACTCTGGGCAGCTCTGGGCAGGACACGGCCGGGCTGGGGGCCTCCGGGGTCAAGCAGTATCCCCCAGTGTGGGTGCTGATGGGCCAGGGGCTTGGGCTCACACGGGAAGAGTCAGCGGCCAGCGCCCTGGCCCAGCCCTGCTGACCACGTGCACGGACTCATCCGCCCCCTGATCCCTGGGGGAGCTCTGTGAGGGACTGGCATGGGGACCTGGTGACAGAGTGGCTGGCACCTCAGCAGGGACAGCCATGAGTCCGGGCAGCTGTTCCTGTGCCCCTCGGTCACTAAAATAGCCACAGCTCTGGCCACACCCGTTCGCCACAGCAGAGAGGGTTCTGTAATGGCGCCGGGTGGGCTGGGGGCCTCTGACCACCCCCAGGCACCCGGGCTGTACTCCTGGGAGACACTGAGGCAGAAGCAGGCAGGCGAGGGTGACAGGGGCTCAGCAAGGGGGTGGCCAGCTGTGAACGTAAGAGTGAGTGGGGGGAGGGGGAGGGTGGGCGGGGGGCGGGGGGTCACGGATGGCTGCTGAAGTTTCAGCTGTGACATGAGGATCCGCCCAGGCCACGAGGGGGCAGACGGCCCTTCCCTGGGCTGGGGTGGTGGCCGGCCCAGGGCTCCGTGTCTGCCCCTACCAGGCCAGGGCAGCAGCTGAGGGGCAGGGCTGCACAGGAACACACTGAGGGTCCCTTGCCTGGAAGACAGGAACAGGGCGTCACTGAGCTGGGGGTCACCAAGCTGGGGCTCTTTTCCTGGGATGCTTCCTGCCTCCCCTTCCAGGCAGCCCTCCGGGACAAGGTGGCTCATACCCAGGCTCTGGCCTCATCGACCTCCAGCTTGTCACAGTGGTGTGTCCCCGCCAATGGGAACAGTCCCAAGCAGGAGGAGGGCTGCAAAGCCAGCCCAGACCAGCCCTGACTCTGGGCATGGCCCCTGGAGGAGTCAGGGGACAGGGGCAGGGGACAGGGAGCAGGAGTCACGAGTCGGGGATAGGGTTGGGGCAGGGGCCAGCAACAGAGGCAAGGGACAGAGACAAAGGGCAGGGTGGGTTGGGGGCAGAGGGCAGGAACAGTGGACAGAGGACGGGGCGGGGATGGGGGCCAGGCCAAGGGCAGGGCTGCCCAGCTGATCTCAGCCTGGCTGAGACCTGGGCTCTGTGGCTGCCCCAGAATGCGGGCGTATCTCTGCCTCCTTGGCACTCG